TCATGATGAGAGAAAGTGTGGATTCATCTAGAACTGAAAGCTCTATCTTGTACAAACACAACTCCTCTTATGTGTTAATGCCAATGAAGAATCATCCCTTGTGTGAACATTGCAAGAAACTTGGTCACACAAAGAGCAAATATTGAAAACTACATAAAAAAACCTACAGATTGGAACAAATCCATGGTAGAGAAATGGTGAAGCCTACTAGCACTCTCAAATCCATCCTAGCCAAAAAAATACTTCAAGCATGACGGATTTGAGCAAATTGCATCAAGTTACCAAAAATAAGAGAATGATCTTATTCGCGAAGCATGGAAGAGTGGAAAACATAGACTATGATATTAGAGACACTGAAGAAAGTGAAGATGCAAAATAGGAGTACCAACTTTCAAATGATGAGTGAGAAATCTCAGTGATTCAAACTAAGCCAATGAGTGAAACTTCAATGGGAAAAAATTGATTGTCCTAAAAGGTCCAGAACCCAAGGATCCAATAGCAGAAAAGAGGCTGCCTCTATTGAAAGAATTGCCAAATATCCCGAATTATAGTTTATCTCTTTGATGCTCACCACTACTACGATGATCAAACATATCATCACTTTAGGAAAAAAAAAAATTTTGATTTTGAGCTACTTCTGGAAAGATGTGTATGAAACAATCTAAGTGATAAGTTTCGGTTCAATTTAACAGCACCCCACAATAAGATAGTCAGACGAGTGTGTTGAACTGCAACTTTAAAAACCTTCTTAAGTGTTTTATGGGAAAGAATATCCGACAATGAGATTCAGGTCCTTATAGAGAAGAGAAAGAAGTATCTCCCAGGTAAGGAGAATGATGTGAGAGCATCATGTCTATCTTCCGTCCATCGGGATTTCGCGGGATTCTCCCACTCCGCAGAAGCCTCCCCTTCCACATTGACGTGAGAGTGTATGTTGGGTCCCATAATCCTGTTTCCATGGGATTCTGCAGTCGGCAGGTCTCACAACATCTAGATCCCGCGATCAAGGGAGATTCAGCTGTTATTTTCTTTTTTTATTGTTTATTTCAGTTTTAGCAAATTTATTTCTTTCCTTTCCTTTCCTTTATTTCTAGCCCTTTCCAATTTTCTTATTTTGCGATTAGGTATTTTTCTATTATGAGACTTTTTATATGATGTAGTACATCTTGCGCATGTAGTTTTTGCTGAGTCTCTGAACATTGAGAGATTTTACTTTGAATTTCTCTCTGGAGTGTTGTACCCTTCTCCTTTCGCAGGTGGTATGCCTATAGCTTGCTTAGGAACAAGTGGTGCATCCCCCTCACCGTGCACACCTCGCCATCTCGCATTCAACAACTATTTTCAGCAGGGACAGCTGCCGCACCTTCAATCTACTCTCCAGCAACAGGTCTCGTTTGCCTCTTCCTCCCGCAAGCCATCTATTCACTGTTTTCAGCCCAACAAGAATCGATGCAGCTACAACCTGCTGTAGATAACAAAAAATCACCATTTTTCAGCTTCTGATTCGCTATTCTATCGCAATTCATGTTGTTTTTTAGCTGTCATCCATCCTCCCGACTCACGTAATCCATCCTACAACTTTTCTAACACCTTTTGTCAAAGATGAGACTCATTTGTGCCACTTTTGGAAGACTATATAGAATCCTTGAGGCAATAAATAAAGTTTGGCAGTATACCCACCAACAAATGATGAGACGAGATGGAAGAAACACAGTGTTGCATATCAAAATAGGACCTTTCGGGTATAAATATCCTACAATAGGATCTAGGCCCTACTGGAGAGGAAGATGAATCTCCTGAGTGATTTATATTGAGAGTTGCCTAGTCTCCCATAGATTTTGTCTCATGGTTGATTACTCCTTACATACTTGTTTACCACATACACTCGGACTAGTACAAAAAGTGGAAGAAGTCAATTACATATTTGATGGCTCGAGGCTTGCTTTGTGAGAATACTCATCCACATGCAGCTTCAGCTCAAGTAATGCCAAAAGAGAATGGATATTTATGCTATCAGGATGTACTTTGCAATGGCAACGCCTATACGATTGACTCACCAGAAATTTACAATAACTCTACCAGCGTCAACAATGTCTATCTAACATTATACTACGAGAAGCTAGAAGCTCGACATATGAGGTCGAGGCTCTCCCAATGACCGACGATAGGCTTTAGGTGTCAAACATGCAGCAACAATCGCACGTGGCAACAGTCACGTAACCCCATTTCTGGATTGAACTGGCCTAGGTTTTGGGAGAGCCAATCGGCCATTGTAGTTCTAAGAATTGCCACCCAGGGGAGTGGGGGCACCCCTTAGTTACCCTAGGTCTATAAGTTTTTTTTTTTTTAGGTCAGCTTTTTGTGTATTTTCTGTCGGATAGTCATCGGCATCTTCAAGTTCTCCGCGCTAGTTGTATCCAAGGGCATATGGTACTTTGGTTGTATCTAGTTCTGAAGTGGTGATTCTCCTCCAAAAGTCGAGTGATACTCTGACTGTATCTCGCTTCTGATGTGGTATTTATCCTCGAATTTCCCATCCTCTGCACTCCTACCGATTTGTTGTCGCCTTTCCGAAAACCACTCCCCCTTCTCCTTGCTGCCAGCACCCCTAAACCGCTTTCTTCCTCGTTACCCCAGCACAGGACACTACCCCTTGATACCAGAGTTAACCCAAATCACAATCGAAACGGAATTATTTTTTGTTGAAATTCAAAATTATTACAACAAAGGCTCTTCAAAATACGAAACAAATGACAAACAAACACAAACGGCACTGTGAGGTGAGGGTGAAGGCGGTGAACAGCGGCTGGAGGGCAGGTGGATTAGGGATGGGAAGGTTGCAGCAACCGCACAAAGGCTGGCTAGGTACAAAAAGATGGGTGGTTATAGTTGGGTGTAAGGTGGAGTGGGGCTAAGGCAGTAAGTGAGCAGGCCTGGGTAGTATTGAGAACCGGTTGTATGGGAGAGGGGGGCCATGGTAGCAAGTGGGGAGGAAGTGGCTGCTACAGTAGGCTGCTAGTAGGGCAGTCAAAATGGCTTGTTGTTCGCGAACAACTAGTTAGATTCGTTCTTTAAAAAAATGAATCGAAACGAACAATTTTTTGCGCTCCATATATAAACGAGTCAAGCACAAATAAAGATTTGTTTGTTCGTACTAGGTTCATTTTAGCTTGAAATAATTAGGTGTTATATAATTGATGAGTATTATTTTTAAATAATTAAATGAATAAAATAAAAATCTATTAAATTCTATTTAAATGAATATTTTAAAATAAATAATAAAATTTAAATCGCACCCCTACCCCTAACATATTATTACTGCGTGGCTAGGACTGTCAAAGCAGCTCGTTCGCTAAGAAATTGAGTTGAATATGAACAATTTTTTGCGTTCGATATATAAACGAGTCAAATACAAACATTGGTATTTATTAGTGAGTCAAACACAAGTCGAGCCTGGACTGACTTAAGCTTGATTCGTTTACACCCTTAGTTGCTGGAATGAAGATTATACGGATGGTAGGAGGACGGGAAGCTTGCAGGTGGGCTGCAGCTGTGTGTGATGGGAAAGGATTCGTTTACACCCTTAGTTGCTGGAATGAAGAGTATACGGATGGTAGGAGGACGGGAAGGCAGGGAAGCATGCAGGTGGGCTGCAGCTGTGTGTGATGGGAAAGGAGCAATAGTGGGGGTGGGGAGTTACGGTAGAGAATATTGCAGGTGGGTTGCGGATGGGGGTGACGGGAAAGGAGCAGGGGGAAATAGAAGGGAGTTATAGGGGGAGATATTGCAGATGGGTTGCGGCTGGGGAGAGGAATTGGGGAAGTGTACGGGAGGGGAGTTGGGGAGACATGTATCCCTGCAGGATTGAGATACAGTTGGAGCACCCTTAGATCCATTGGAGAAGATCACCGCCTCGGGGAGCTACAGCAGGAACACCTCCTCGCCTTCGAATATAGCCCTAAAAGAGAAAAGCAGTCTGTCGGTTGGCTTGGACAAAAATCTAAAATCTAAAAAAAAAAACTAAATCGTTAGATAGCAAACAAACAAACTTATAATAATTAGGAGGGGGAGGGGGGCGACAACCCTTGACATCCCCCCGCAATCCCAACCCTTTGCATCGCTGTCACTGCTGTACCAAGCCTTATGTCTCGCTGTCATCGCATTTCAAGGCTCTCCTTTGCCATTTCCAGCAACCCACAGCCCATTCCAACCCCCTGCCACCACTCCCCGACCACCTAGCCAACCCTCACCACCCACGGATCTAACCCTAGTGTGAGTTTGTGTGGCATTGTTGTATTTTTCATTTTATTGTGTTTGGTTATAATTGTCTATTTGACTTTTTTTAGTAATATTATTTGTGTTACTATGGTTATTTGAGTTAAACTCTGGTATCACTTCATCTTCCCAACAACCATTTCACCATACTTCACAGAGATCACAATGAGTGTCTCAACATTCACTTGTGGATACTTCTGAGCAGAAGACTTGCTTGACCACAAAAGGATTCCATCATTTGTTCATAAATCTTGAGCAATTTTTAAATAATCCTCAATGAAAAATGAAGAGCTCTATTCTCTTATTACAATGGACATTGACATTAATGATCGAATAACTATAGATCATTTTTCCATTATCTTTTTTTTCTCTTGCATCAGCATAAGAATTGTTCATACTTAGTTATAAAATAAGCCAATTTTCTAGTGGTTGTCCAATCTCTTCTCAAAATAAGACGGTTGCTTTCTCTCTGTCGGGCTTCCCTCTTGACTAAGCAGAGAAGTAAAAAATGCTTATCTACAACATGATGAATAATTAAAAAATGTGCAAAGAATCTCCAAAAACATTTAGATTTTAACTACAAGAACATACATTGTAAGCTAAAAAGCCCTGGTAAACAAAATTCATCAGTGTCAGCGTCAAAATTTAGCTAAAATACTACTCAAGCAAAAGATTCAAGAAATCCCACAAATATTTATCAATAACTATTAACACTAAGCACTAACCTCAGCACATTTTTTTGGCAGCACAAGACGTCCAATACGGCCTGTATCACTAGCACTCAGCATTTTTTCAAACAAAGGAGTTATGACTGAATTTGAACTTCCAGTAAGGTTAAGTAAATACCGAACTGAATTAGAAAGAAAAGTGACATGTCAAAATGAAAAACTAGCTAGGACAAGAAAATTTACATGCAATGTCTAAATCTAACTGAATGATTGCAATGATGAAAAAATGTAATGGATACTCTCCAGATATCTGTTGGAGTTCTTGATCTGTTATCCTAGGCCAATAACGTGGAAGTAAATGAGATCGTGCCCTAAGATCAAAACGCCCTCTTCCATTGCGTATATGAGCTGGTGATTCACAAGTGGAGTCAATACTGTTCAGAGAATTGGGATAACAATGTTTCGACAATGTGGAAGAAGCAGCTTGTCGTTGTGGTTCAGTTGTTGAGACTTGGGTTGGACCACTTGTTCCATTAATAAATGAGAAAGGAGCAGGCAATCCCATTAGTAAGGATGTTGAGTCCCCTTTTAAATTTGCTGATGGATTTCCAGGTGAAATTTGATGCGTCTCAAATTTAACACCTGAGAAAGAAGAAGAGTGTAATCTGAAGACATCCCTTTTCATGTAGTAATCAAATTTTTTCTCCTAAAATTTGTAGAAAAGCATAAAATTTAAAAGCATTTCATTTTCATCTCTTACCGTTCATATCTCGGGCGACATCGTTTAGACCATCAGATGCAATTCTTTCAGGAATGTCTACAGTCTTTTTTTCATGTGGAGAAAAAGAAGAACGAGCACCAGCCATCAATCTATCAGTATTAGGTCTATCAAATTCATATGACAGTCGTTGGTGCAAGTCAGATTGAATGCTTGATGAATTCCATATGTTCGCGGGATGTCTCCATTGTCCTGGAAATGAACCAGAGACTTGGTTCCAGCTTTTAACAGAGAATTCTTTTGATCTCTCAAGCAGTTGAGGAGAAAGAACCATTGGAGGTGACCTAATATGATTCGGTACCTGAAAATTTCATGTATTCTACAGCATTATCACATGGGTAAGGAAACAACAATAAAGAGCAACTTCTTGCAAATCAGTGGAATTAGCTTTAATATTAAATACAGTGGAGACGAACTAAAGAGTTGATATGAGAGTTCTTGCATTAAAGAAAAACAAAGAGAAATCATGAAGCAAAGCTAGAAAATATAAGTACCTCAAGAATCCCAAATAATTCCATATTTGTTAAAGCACATGTATAGTCCAAGGCTAAAATTTCATGATCAAGTATGCAAAAAAATCGAACTACAACGTTTTAATGGAACAAATGTCGACACATAAGCGTTTAAGGCTAACCAATATTTTGATTTTCATAACACTACAGACTGTCATTGTGTTCGCATAGCCTCCTTCCATCTTGGAGGAGTAGTTGCGACATGGTACCAATTGCTCCAGATGAAAGGCCACGATCTTTCTTGGGCTGGTTTTATGTGTTCTTTAAAAGAACATTTTGGCATTTTCCAATATGAGGATTTGAACGGTAATCTATCTAAATTACTCCAACATGGCTCCATATTAGAGTATCAGTCTGCTTTTAAAGAACTTGCATATAAAATTCCTAATCTATCTGAAACAACTTTAGTTAGTTATTTTGTTTCAGATTTAAAAACTAACTTACGGCGTGAACTTTTACTAGCAAAGCCTCTTACTCTCTTAGATGCAATGGACACGGCACGTCAACATGATTCTAGGTTTCAAGTTTTAGAATAATTACCACTCTATTAATTGCGGCAACCACCTTTGTCTGTTCCACAATCTAAGATTATTACACCTAATATACAAATTGCTTTTACCATACCACGCACTTCTCTTGAAACTTCCACAACTAATAACAACTGTCATCTCTTCCAATTCGTAAATTATCACCGGTTAAACTTCAATATAAACGAGAAAGGGGTTTTTGGTGATGGGAAATATAGCTCCATCTAAATAAATGTTCAAAATTAGCATCAATACTTTGACTGCCAAATAAATCCCCGAGCTTTTCGTTTGGTATGTTTTTTGACTAAACATAATATTTACACTATAATCGACAGTGGTAGCACACATAATTTTATTCAAGATTCGGTCGTGCAATGTTTCAGATTACGAAAACATTCAATTAAACAATTTAATGTTTTTGTAGGCAATGGCGATTTGTTAACTTGTAACTCAAAATGCTCACAACTACAATTGTATATGCAAGATTATGAAGTCATAATGGATTTTTTTTGTTTTGCCATTAGATGGGTCTGATCTAGTCTTAGGCATGATGTGGTTGCAATCACTTGGCCCCTGTTGCATAATTATACTGAACTTACTATGCAATTTTATCACAATAACAAGCAAGTAACACTATATGGAGAACCACAAATCCATTCTGATCCGGTCACTTTTCATCAGTTTTGATCTTTAATGTCAACTCAATCTTCTAAATATATGTTAGCATTACAAGCTCATATCATGTCATCCAATGCCGTCATTTTAATGCCTTCTTTTAACGACTCAACTAAAATCTGAACTCCCCCCTTCTATTTCAAGCCTTTTACGGAATTATCGCAACATATTTAACCCAGCAAAGGGGTTTACCACCACCCCACAATATTGATCATCGCATTTGTTTACAACCGAGTTCAAAACCAATTAATGTGTGGCCTTACTGTTATCCACATTTGCAAAAAGGTTCTATAGAACTCTTAATGACATGCTTGCTTATGGTATCATTCGACATAGTGACAATCCTTTCTCTAGTCTTGTTCTCTTAGTAAAGAAACTTGATGGAACTTCGATATTTTGTGTCAATTATCGAGCATTGAATGTCATTACATTTAAAGAAAGATTTTCTATTTCTACAATTAATGAACTTCTAGATGAAACAAAAGGGGTGGCTTGTTTTCCAAATTTGATCTATGCTCGGGCTACCATCAAGTTAGAATGCATAGAAATGTCATTCATATATCTGTCATTCGTATGCATGGCGACCACTTCTAATTTTATGCCATTTGGCATAACTAACACACCCTACATTTTCCAATCACTGATGAACTAGGTTTTTAAAGCTTATCTTCGTAAGTTCCTAAATAATTTTGTGATTATATCTTAATCTATAGTCCCAATTTAATACTTCCTTATGATCATTTAAAGACTATTTTACATTTTTTACATGGAAATAATTTAGTTTTTAAATTGAATAAATGTTAATTTTGTCAACCATCAATTGAATATTTGGGACATATTGTACAAGCTGGTGGAGTTCAAGCAGATCCCAATAAGTCTCATGCTATCCAAACCTGGCCAACTCCTTATAGTATAAGGCAATTACAAGGTTTCTTAGGCCTCACAAGGTACTATCAGCGCTTTATTGCTAATTAGGTTGCAATTGTGGCTCCCTTAACAGATCTATTAAAAAAAATGCCTTTTATGGGACCAACCAGCTAACACTGTATTTGAGACTGTAAGAAATGGTATGATGCAACACTGATTTTGGCTTTACCTAATTTTACTAAACATTCCATTATCAAAACGGAAGCTTCTAACACGGGCATTGGGGTTGTACTTATGCAAGATGGTCATCCTCTTTCATTCTTCAGTAAAAAGTTGGGTATTTGAATGTCAACTGCTTCTACTTACTTGAAGGACTTATATGCCATTTCCGAGGCAGTCAGTAAGTGGCGACAATAATTATTAGGGACAGAATTTGTAATGCGCACAAATCATAAAAGCTTGCGGTAACTAATAGCACAAATATTACAAACACCAGATTAATATTACTATCCACGAAAATTATTAGGATTTACTTTCCAAATTGAATCTAAATCTAGCAAAACCAATAAAGTGGTTGATTCCTTATGTTGGCTTGATTTGTGTTATACCACAAGTTTCCATTCCGCAATTCAAATGACTCCTTATCAAGCATTTTATGGTCGGCTTCCTCCTTCCATTCCAGCTTACGTACAAGGAAGTCCTGCCATAGATGCGGTTGACACTTTATTAGTCGATCGAGATCATTTATTACGCACATTTCGACAAAACATCCAACAAGCACAAAACATAATGAAGAAAATGGCTGACAAACATAGGCGGAAATTACAATTTAATGATTTGGTCATGGTCAATTCGCAACCATATAGACATATATCTCTGGCTCTTAGTGTAAATCATAACTTAGCCAAATGATTTATTGGCCCTTTTCCAATTATTGAAGCCATCAGTCTGGTAGGTTATCATTTACACCTTTCTTCACAGAGCAAAATTCATCCCGTCTTTTATATCTCACTTTTGACGCAATTCCATGGGAATCCATTAACAAATTCAATCCCATTACCCAACCTCAACTTCCAAAATCAACCTATAAGTCCTCCTGAATTCATCACTACAACACGGCATCTATACAAACAAGGATCACTGCATCCGCAAATCTTAATTAAATGGATTGATTCCGTACCTGAGGACACAAATTAGGAATTTACCTCTAGTATTACTTTGGCAATTCCATCTCTCAACCTTAAGGATAGGGTAGATTTTCATGGCGATGAGGGTGTTACAAGATGCTTGATTCAATTAGATTCGGTAATGGTACAAAGTCTTTATGAAGCATGGATAAAGGCCAATGAACAATCAATAGACGAGGGACTAAAAAATGGTATAGACAATGCAACCAAAACAATTTTGCGACAATCAACGAGATGTCGATAGTCACCACAGTGGCTGAACGATTATGTCCAAAAATAATTGAGGGAGAAATATTATGACTCTAAATGTATTCCTTTCTCTTTAAAATAGTTATGTATGGGTCCAGTAATAAATGTGCTTGTAAGTTGGCTATAAATAGTCTTGTGGGTGTGGAAATGAGGTGAAGAAAGAATTCTGCTCTTCTTTCTTTAATGTCTTCAGAGTCAGATGCCTACTCAAAAGGTACTAAAAGTTACGCTTATATTAAATCATAACATAGGTGCCCAAGTGAAATGCTTAAATGGCATTAAATGACTAAATTCTGGGACATGACAAAAAAATGAAGATAGATACCCTGCTATTACCTTTTTCAATATATTCAAAGTCACATATTAATATATACTGGTAAGAATTAAAATTCAAAATCTATATAACATGCATCTTCCCTCTTATATTATTTTATATCCTTAAAAAAAAGAGAATAAAAAAGAATTTTATCAAAACTTGGAAAAACTAGTGAGCATTTAAAATAAAAAATTGGGAGAAAAAAAAGCGTAAAAACTAAAACTACAGTTGACGGCTAGTGGAAAAACGACATTTGGATGAAAGGTCATGATAAAAATAACAGAGTTATAATTATTTAGCTTCAATAGAGGGAGATGTAGCCAATGTGCATTTAACCCATGTGGAATCTTGCAATTGCATGGTAAGGGTTCAATCAGCAGAAAAAAAAAGGTGAAACAAAAAGGCATAGGACCAACAAGGAAAACTGAAGGGAAAAAAGATTGGAGCTTACAGTTGAATAAGTATTCCTTACGCAGGTCATGCACTCAACTCCCCCAACATCTAGAAGCATATAAACAGGAATCGAAACAATGCAGCCACAATGAATCCTCTGCAGAAGGTCCAAAATAAATGTGAACGCGGATAAAGTAGTAAAAATAACCAATCCAAGCAAATAAATTTCACATCATGCATATGAACAACAATTCAATATGCAACAATTGAATCCAACAAATACGTTTCAACTCTGAAACCCCATCCAAACCTCTCCTTACCTTGCCACAAGACTCGCATTTCCTCCAACCAGCAGCATCTGAGTGGAAAGTCTCACAGAAGTTCCCATTGTCAAAGCTAGAACTGTGTTCAACAGCACAACAACAAAATAACTTAAATTAAAGTCCAAAAATAGCAATGTAAATTGGATTATGCTCACTTCACAATGCAGAGTAATTACAAAAATGCAATCCTTAAAAAGCTAGTAATGGATTTCAAATTCAAAAGTAAGAAATCAAAAATGAATTAATAGTCATGCAACCAAATTCGGAAGAAATTACGTTCCATCTACTGTCATTGGATCGAAATTAAACATCCATTTGAACAGCAACGAATACCCACCAGGAAAACTTCAAATGAAACCAAAACTATCCCACAAGGCGATATGTTTCACACAACTAGGGAAACACCTTATGTTTAAACTCCATATAAAACCCGCTCGCCATACAAATAAAATAAAAGTTGCCGCCTAATTAAACAAATCACTAAACCGCCAATAAAATATTTCTCGGACGAGAACAATAACACGAAAAGACGACTAAGTGGAGAGGGGGAGAGGTGCGCTTGCGTACTAGCAACGCTCACAGAGATCGGAATGCTCGCCGGACCGCAGCTTCCATCCTTTCCGGCGAGTTTGGTCCGTTAGCATCTTCTTGCATTGAACGTTGAAGCAGATCTTACGACCCGATGCCGCCATCACAGAGGACGACGACATGGCCTAGGCAGGAGCCGATCTGACCCGCGATGCAGGGGCGAAACACATAATAATCCAGACTTAGCGCTTCCAAATTATGAGGGGAGCGAACCAGGAGCAGACGGGTATCTGATTTAGGATAAGAAAACGAGGAGAGAGAAGACTCGAGAGGGCTTTCAAACGGGAGAAGTTATTTTGCTGTTCTTCACTTTTGGGAAACTATTTTATTGCAGAATTTCACTTGAAGAGAAGATATTTCGCTATAGAGCTTGAAAGCGTTAAAAGGTTGACGCATGGCATTTGTATTGGTAGTTTTAGAACAGTATCGAACCACAAGGTTAGTGAATCCGTACTTCAGCTAAAATGGTATTTATTCAATTTGCGTGGGTGCAGAATCACTGAGTATTGGCAGTTAAACAGTAGAAATAATATTTTTTTGACAAAATTAAGAAATATTTAAAAATATTATAAATATTTGATTTAAAATCAAAATCATAATATTTTTCACTAATCTTTAAAATATTATATATAAAATTGATGTAAATACTATTAAAAATATTTTATATAAAAATGATGTAAATACTGAATTTTACAGTACTTAAATCAAAATAAAATATTAAAAATAGTTTACTTCATATGTTTCAAACCATGTTGAAACTTGAAACTCATTTTCACTCTGTTTAATATTCAACGTAATTTTTAAAACCTTGATTTAATATGAATTAAAATTTTATATTATAAAAAGTTTATGCTTCTTCATTAAATGAGACATAGTAAAGACTTTGAAAATCTTACAATTATGCCAAATTTATATTCAAGTTTATAGATATAATATATATATATACATACATACATATACATAAAAATTTTGTCGGCATTAATTGTAAAGAGATCTGATGGTCCACACAGAAGATGGTGTGGTGGCCCGGAACCCACCAGGGATAGTTCATACATACATACATACATACATACATACATATACATAAAAATTTTGTCGGCATGAATCATAAAGAGATCTGCTGGTCCACACAGACGATGGTGTGGTGGTCCGGAACCCACGAGGGACAGTTCAAGGGCCCGTATCTATGCGGCAGGTTCCTGCGGGTCTGGAGAAAAATAGTTCCAAGACCGGCAGAATTCGGCCACCCTCTTAAAGTTACTGGCACAAACTTTATGTGGATAAATCCGTCGACATTCTTCAACCAAGTCTGGTGAACGGTGAAAAATGCACGGATCAAAAACAGTCGGTCAGGGTCTCCCGGTCCACCCTTTAGTCATCCCTTACAGGGAAATGACTCAGTTGGTCATCCCCTTTGGCTCCCGGCCCAAAATCTAGTCGGGTGTCATCCTAGGCTCCAACCCCCATTCCGCTGGACACCATTTCAGGATCTCGGCTCTATAATGTTTATTGACCAATACTCCTTGTTGTACCTATTTTTGTAGGGATACAGATTGTAATTTTGCATCCTTCATTCCAACTCATTTCATAAATAAAGGTTACGTGATTTTAATGTACATTACAATGCTATATGTTCTCTTCTTCTCTTTCACATTATATTCCTTAAGCATGTCTCCAGGATAATTTTTTATTCAGCATCCTAAAAGGTAAGGTGGACATGGAATATACCATCGACAAGAAGAGGAGCGCGAAGATTACAAAGAGAAGAGAGTCGTTATAAAGATAAAGCCAACCCAAAACCACCAGAGAAGACATAAAGGAGTGCATACAATGAGGAATGCAAGAGTTAAGAACCCAGAAAATGGCGCTGGTGTAAGCCAGATAACAGAGGTTTTGAGGGTCATCACAACCATAGCAGGAGATCGGGCCATCAGAGGCAAAACCGTCCTTAGGAGGTGGCGTCAGTGCTCACTGCAAAAGGCTGAACAAAAGCCCCGAGAGGGATGAAGACTCACAGTCCAAGATAACATTGAGTCTACACAAATGGAGAAATTGTGGTTCAGGCGCACTAAGGTACCACGTCAGTCAGAGAATTCATTCTCCCTTCATATCTCAAGAGCTGAGCCCCCGAAGAATTTGAAGCTCCTGATGTTGGAGGCATATCAAAGTTGGTCGGATCCCAATTACCACGTCACCTTATTTGAATATGTGATATACCTGTTGAAAGTCTAAGACGCACTGAAGTGCATGGCATCCGTTCTCACCACCTTGAGGTTGTTAACCCTAAAGTGGTTCAACTCGTTATGAAATGGAAGTATCAACAACTTTTCGGACATCAGAAGACTTTTCTTGGTGCAGTTTCCCATAGCCTCTGCACAATAATTGCCTCTACCTGCCCTCCAGGCATGATGAATCCTCATTCTTTTATCAATTTCTTCTTCACCAGATTTCTATCTTGAAGTATTTGCACTTTAGGATTAACTTCAATATTACTAAGAAGTGTTCCCTAGGGTCTATTGTTAAGTGCATTAGTAATTTCTTCCAGTTGATTCTAAGTATTTCTTATTGTAGCACTTTGACTTTGAATCTAATTACCTATTTGCAAAGCTACTTCTTCTATAGACAACTTCTTTTCCTTAAATTGCTGGTTATTAAAGCCAGGAGGATACAAAGGTCTATGGTTAGGATTACCCTGATTGTTCCAGTTTTCTGTTGGGTTTTGATCCTGAATTTTTATATGCAAGGATTTATGAAGTTGACACCATTATAGCGCCAAAAACTTGATCCTTATATGAAAAGTAAGTTAAGTAAAATATATATAATTATAGGAGATTAATAATAAGATTTTACGCAAGTCTATGTATCGTTATCAAGTAATAATGGACTTTCTATTTAAGCCCCAAATATTAATCCCACGGGGAAGGTGTAAATTAGCAATGATAAATTTTAATAGAAATTTTATAGAAAATCAAACGAAATCACTGTCACTAATTTTGAATGTTGAGATTTTAACCAAACTAAATTACTTAACTATTAACAAAAATGAAATCCAAATTTTTAATAATGACTACTAATCTACTAACTATGTTTATATAATGAAGATTTCTTATGTGAAAAAGCATCATTCCCACTACAAGATAAATGTGTTTAATATGGATTGTGCCAAATATGAGCAATTTTAATTCTCTAATTCTCTACCGTGCATAGAAAATCATTGGCTGATCTTAGGTTTAGTCCCTAAATTAGTGGCTAGGCTGGGAGGATACCGGCTCCCACTCCAGAGCTTCCATTTCCCTTCACCTGCAGGCTAACTCTCGCTTTAGTTTTTAAACACTGAGACCAAATTGGGGATTTTAGTCTGTCACCCTAAAGATTCTCCAATTCTACACCCAATAAAGAATATTTCCCTAACTCCATTTCCTGGATCATATGTTTTACAACACATTTTAACAATTCAATTGGCCAGATCAAAAAGTAAATTAAGTTCGGAGTTAAAAAATCATCACAATTTATTTTATAATTTAATATTGACACTTTCATATTATCTTTTCATTTCACCATATCTCAGAGTAGGGAGAAAGATAGAGGGAACTACTCAGACTTCATGAGAAAGAAATAACAAAACACAATTTTCATATATAAAAAAAAAATTTCATACAACATTGATAAACAAACAATACTTATCTGAAAACTCTTTCTCAGAGCAAATCTTTTGTAGCCTTTCCTTAGAAATGCAGGAAGAAGATATCTCTCACTTTTCTCCTTCTCCAACACTCTTACAAAAACTTTCCCACTAAATCTCACCATAAATACTCTAAACTATGAAAATAAAATCACTAATTGACTCAAATATGGAAGTGGAATGGAATGATGTGGTGCGAAAAAGTGAAAGTGGAAGAGTGAAAAACGTAGAGGAGCCCATTTTCTAATGAAATTCAGCCCCAATTAGAGCCCAAGGTCGGTTCTCCAAGAGGTTCCTCCAAAAACTCTTCATAAAATCATCCAATAAAATCATCCAAATACAAAATCATCCAAATACATCAAACCTTCTAGAAACGGGGTCTGCACCGCCTTTGGCGCCGTTGGTGCTGGTCTGGCACTGTCGTCGCTGAGTAAAATTCTCCAGCGTTAAATTCTTCTGTGTCGTTGGTGCTGACCTCGGCACTGCCGACGCTGAGCATTTTTTCAAAAACTTTATTTTGACTCCAAATTTCATATTTTTTGCTTTCTTTTTGCTTTAAGCTCCAAAAATCAACAACCTCTAAGAAAACATTGAAATACCTTTCATTAAAGTGTAATATCACAAAAAATGAGTATAAAATATGGGTCTAAAAATGCATATATTTTCGGTGTATCAAAATCCCCCAAACTTACACGTTACTTGTCCTCAAGTAACTTCTCTACTACATAAAAAAATATGACTTATGGTAAAGAATTTAACTTTTAGGCTTCCATATTTTAGTTTTCTAAATATAATAGTTTTAACTTAAGAACAATTCAAAACAACTCGAGTTAATACCAAAAGTGTAAGGATATGCAGTAATTAAGTCTAAAATTTCTGATCCTCTATTTCTTTCAAGAAAAAATGTAATTTGTTATATTAAAGTCACTTAGAAAATTCATATGAAAAAGAACTTCATAAAACTTTATTAATAATTAAGTTAACATTCAAATAAAAAGTTTAGAAAATGTGTCCAAGTCTTTTTCCTTAAGTTGATTCAAGTGAAACCAATTTTTAATTAGGCATCTCCTCAAGCTTCT